CAGGATGATGTGCCAAAGCTGTAGCTCTGGAGCAGCACGGTCAGCCCCAAGGAGCCCTGAGTAATTTGATGAGCATGGCACCATCCAGCTCGCAAAGATTTCTCGTCTTCTCGCTGCTCTGCCTTGGGAATTTCATCAAGAAACTTCCTGGCATGGAAGGGCCTGGTGCAAGCGTGGAGCAGCCCATGGGCACAAGCCCTTCCCTGCCCAGCTGGAGCAGGGATGACTGCAGCATCTGGATAAAAGACCTCTCATTACCTACCGCAGCCTGTGATCGGAGCTGTTCCGTGAGACAGCGGTGAGGGTAGTGCTTTCTGGATAGCTGAAATCCATACACGGGCCCTGGCACCAGGGAAAAGGAGCCCAATAAACACAGAGCCACCAGCTGTGCCGGAGCCCCTCGCACGGCCGGTGCTGCAGACCCGGCTCTGATCAGCCACGGCTCTCACCCGCTCCCGTCCACAGCCCTGCCAAAGCACCTGCATCCTTCTTTTTTTATTAGTGGAATAAATTGCCACTTAAAATATCCATTCTCCGTAAGGCCTGGCCCCATTTTAGGCAGCTTTAGCTGAATACTTGCCCTTAAAAAAATTCTCCCTTCCCGTCTCCCTGTTGAATAAACTTATTACGCATATTCCTCACAGGTATCCCTCCTTCTGTTTTCCTCGGGGTTTTCTTTTGACTCTTCCCTTCTCCTCTGCCCTGTTGTAGCCCATTACAAAGCATGTCACCATGAATGGTGAGGGCATCTCTGTTCTTGTCACCAGTTTTCCATTGCTCTTACCCTTTGGGGTGTCCCAGGGCGGCCATCCCGCTGCCAAATTTGGGGAGGCTGTGCAGGGGTTTATGGCTCGTTTCATGGTGTTTAATGGAGGTTGGTTTTTTTTACAGTCACAACTCCTGGAGCCCAGTAACAATGTGAGGGTCTCAGCTCTCACCCCGTTGGTCAAAAATGTAATTTTCTGAAGAGAAAAGCTTGAAGCCGTGATGCTTCAAGGCTCAAAATCCAGAAGGGAATGAAACAAGTCTTAGGGTTTTGGGGAGTCTGACTCATGGTTTCTGAATGCCTGTGGTTGGCAGTGCTGCATAGCTGATGTCCCTCAGCACAATACTGCACAACTTCCATGCGAGCCTCATTCCATCAAAAAAAAGGCTTTGTACTTTGGGTTTTTAATCTTTGCTTTGCTAGAATTTCATACAGAGCATGACTCATCTGGAAGCTTCTCCAGGTTCTTGCAGGGACATGTGCTCTTTGGGGACAGGTAAAATTAAAGTCTGCCCAGAAAAAAGAGGCTTTGAACGCAATGGAAACTCGGTGGCCATGACCATACCTGGGGTCACTGTGGTCGCTTGTGGCTTTCAAAATGCCCAGAGATACTTTTTAATAGGAATCTGATGGCGAGAGCAGCTTGGTGGCTTTGGCTTGTTCAGTTTGACTCAACGTGTTGCAAATCTCCATGGATGAAACCCTCATGCTAACATGATATAAATCACTGCTATCCGCATTGCATAGAGGCACACAGAGATGAAGTGCCTTGCTCAACACTGCGCTGTAGGTCACTCTGCAAGGGACGGGGACTGTCTCTAAAGGACACTTTTTTTGGTCTCCTCTTGCTTGTTTTAGTTACCCTGTGGTAGGCCATAGCCACAACCCTTGAGAAGGCAGGGCTGGCCACCAAGGCCTTTTTTTTGGTCTTCGCCACATTTTGATCCCCCTGGCAATGTCCCAGCCATGCAGGGACCTCACCCACTCCGTGGATGGCTTAGATCGGCCCACACCGCTCCGGGCTCGCCTGGAAATAATGTGTGTAGCTGTGCAGAAGTATTGAACAAATGGGTCACTTCTGGAGGCAGTCTTAAAAAAGAAGAAACAAGTTAGTTGTCTCACCCCCAAGTGAAGACAAAGCTGCTGGAGGGTCCTGGGCCAACAGACGCCAGACCAGGCTCCTGTTCCTCCTCCAGCCTGGCTCTTCTGGACCTCAGCAGACATTTCAGTGGGGCTGGCTATGACCAAGTCATCCTGTCTGCCTTTCTGGCATGAGGTCAGAAAAGGGCTAACTTTGCTGGGAAAGCGGTGCTGGAATGCCACAGCACATAGCTGGGCCATGGCTCCGGTTCCCTAAGAGCAGGTCCTGTGGTACATCATTCCTGGAGGACCTGCTTTAGGGACGTGCTTGGGGCTTGGTGGTGCTGGACATCAGCTCTTGTGGGTCCGAGGGCTGGTGCTTGGGTCAGGATGGGAAGGTGTCCTGCGATGGGGAGCACAGCAAGGGGGTCAACGTGTTGCGCCTGGATCGGAGCTTACCACCACTCTCTGCTCCAGGGTCAAGGATGGAGGTATCTCTACCGCAGCAAAGGCTGCCCCAGCAAAGGGATCACCCCAACCCTCTCCAAGCGAGAGAGGGCCTGATCCTGCAAAACACAGAGTGCCTCCACTCAGCTGAGCAGCCCCAGCTCCTGCTGAGCAGCAGCAGTGCCCAGCCCAGCACTTTGTTGAACTCATTTCAGCCAAGGAAACTCCTTTCCTCTGCAGGCACTTCTCCGGCCAAACCAGCAGCCAGTCGCCGGCGACTCTCCCCTGGCTGGAGGAGGTTATTTTGGAGTGTCTGTTGCTCCTTTTATTTGCACTCTGAATTATGCACCGGCACTGGTTTGGGATGGAAAGCCTGGCTGCTGCCTGCCGGATGGCTGCCGCGTGTCCCTGGGGGAAGCTGTCGGGGGAAGAGCCCACTGGCCCCGAGCCGCTGCAGGGACGGGCATCGCGCCGGCAGCTCTGAGCCTCCTCGTGTGGTGCCAGGGGGTCAATGCGCAGTGCTGGGACTGCCGGACTGCCTTGCCAAAATGTGGGATGTGGGGAGCAGGGCTGGCTCAGGGACCCTCGCCCGAATCCTACATTTCCCTGGGAAAGTCCAATACGAGCCCTCAGCGACCGTCCCTGGGCGGGAAAACCTCTCGCTGTCCATGCAGGTGCATCTTGTCTCAATTTACTCCAAGCCCAAAAGCAGTAAATAACATCTGCAAATCATTTCTAACGCTTATGCCAAAACCCAGGAGATAAAAAACGCTGTCGTCTGAGCCCGGCCGTCGGTGATTAATGCCGTACCTGCCGGCAGCCTCGGCAGCAGCACCCGTGGCCCTGGGGTTTTGGGGGCAGCACTGGCCCTGGGGGTTTTGGGGTGGAGGGAGCAGGGGCTGGTTCAGCCCCACATTGGAGCTGTAGATGAAGCTGGATGGAGGCTCGTGTTTTGGATCTGCTCTCCGGTGCATTTTGTTTTCGGGGCTGTTTTTGCTCCCACCGAGGCGATGGCATCGCTCCTGCTGATTTCACGAGGATGGGCCGGGGCTGCGTAAGCCGCGCTGCTGCAGCCAGGGATAACACTGCGTGATTTATGGGAGCAATCAGTTGCCACTAGGAGCTGGTTAGGAATTTTCCGATGAAACGGGGATTGCGTCAGAAACCGCTGAGTCATCTCAACTGTTTCATAAAAAAAAAAAAAAAAAAGAATTTAAAAATCCTTTTGGCTTTGATGAACTTTTGGTGAAGCACAGAGACCGAATGTGTCTCGCCCGCTGCCGGCTCCCCCAGTGCTTGCCTCGGGGACAGCCTTCCCCCCCCCCCTTTTTTCTTCCCCTCCCAGAGCTCCCCAGCCCTGGGGCATCAACAGGGTGGGGGATCACCCAGGGATGGGGTGCCCTGGGGTGCAACCTCCTGCCAAACCCCAGGGCTACCAGGAGTGCTGGGGGGATGCTGGGGCTTGCACGGCCCCAGGTTGTGCTGGCATTTTCAATGTGAAATATTTTGATGCTTTTAAAACCTCTCGTGTTCAGACTTTTCCCTCCTGGTTGTTCCAAAACGGAAAGGGTTTTCTCCTGTGTGTCTCGGGCTGGGATATTTTGAAATGCAGAAGTTGGGTGAACTCAAGTGCTAAATTTTCCCAGTGTCCTGGTCACAGCCAACTGATGGAAAATTGAAAGTTGCAAATCAACCTAGCTGGGTAAATTAAAACAGGCTGGCAGACATTTAGCCAAACAGAAAAGGAGACTTCATTTCCCATGTAAATTTTTTGGGACGGATTCTCTGCTCAGCTTCTCACAGCCATCCCTGGGAGGACTGGGTCCAAACTACCAACTCCAATTCCTGCAGGGTGCTGGGAGCTGTGCAGGGATCTGTGCCCCATGGTGGGGTTGGAGAACGCCCCAACATCCTGCAGATGGGAGCTCCTGGCCCATGGCAAATGGCAATGGGCCTGAACGTTGCCACCAAGGTCCAGGAGCAGCTGGTGGTGATAACCACCATAAGCTGCAGCGATCGCCTTGGGTGCAGAGCCAGTGCCGGGGTGCATTGCCATGCTGGGAGCACTGGTTTTGCCCTGTGTGGGGCAGGTCTAGAGGGGAAGGCGAAAAGGCTTGGGCTGAAGCATCTTTGGTGCCACGAAGGAAATCATTCAGGTGGGCTGCTCAAAGCTGCTGGGATGTGACCGCCAGGGGTGCAGGGGGGATGCACTAAGGGATGCATAGGAACGCGCATCACCGCGTAGGTGAGGTGTCTCACCAACCACGTTTTGCATGTAAAGACTGCAGAGAACAGACCGCATATATCGTATATAGGTTACATACTCTGTATAACTGCGTCCGTCTTTACGCCCTAGGCTTTTCTCTCTGACACACGCAGATCAGATACAATACGTGCACGGCTGGCACGGAGCCAGGGGGACTGTTCTCATCCAAAATGGCTCTTCACGCGTCCCAAGCCCATTTTCTGACCGCCACCCGTTCTCCTGCGTGGCAGAAAACCATTTGGAGCAGCACGACTGACGCCGAGCCTTAAGCAAATGACACCAAAAGTGCAGGAGCGCGGGGCTTTGGTTTATTTTTCAGCAGAAGGTGCAATTAAACCCCTGGCAGACCGTGCCCAGCCAGCCCTCCCGCACGCCCAGCGGCAGGATGCGGTGCCTAAGGAGGTACCGGCAGGATTTTGGCCACCTCGCTGCGGGCCGGTGATGCGGAGGTGGGTGGGAGGGGTGGGGGCGGCAGGTACCGACCCCCGGCCCAGCGGGGGGGAGCGCAGCAG